CCCCTTCACCAGCTCCTCTGTGAAATGTAGTCTGCTTTCAGTCTGTCCGAGCACAACAGTCCTGCCTTCAGCATACAATTTGCACAATGCCTTGCTATACTCAAGTCTGTCATCGCTAAACTGCCGCCATCTTGTGGTTAATCAACATCCTGCGAACAGTAACAGCGCAGTGTGTTACAATCACTTTCCTATTGCAGAAATATTTATTACCAATCTATCCCACCAGTAGCTTTCAGCGCTGAAAACCAACACAGCAAAAATTTACACCCAAAATAATTGATAAAATAATAATACAGAACATCTAAGACATTGTTAAACGTTACTTCTGTCTGGTGGTGGGCATTGGCTGTACAGAGTTCCCACACTGCTATCTCATAGATCACATAAACAGCGGTAGCTGATCCTCTGCCTAGCAATTGAAGACGTCTTCCAAGGGAAGGCCCTCTGCCAGCCAAGAGCAGGAAGGAGGCATTGCCTGGAAACTCAAGAAAGTTAGAAGAGGAGGCTATGGGAAACAAGGAAGCTTGCAGCTGCAAGGAGCAAGAGTGCACTGGGAGCTCCTTACACTGTGTGGAGGCAGCCATCTTGGTTGCTTCCTCATGTCAGAGCTGCCGCCCTGATGATCTGATGACTGGTGGGGTAGTTATAGAGTTATGGAGGAAACAGATCCACAGAATGATCAAAGAAGAAGCAGGAGGATCCTTGCACTACATGTCCTCAGGTACGGCTTCCTCTCCAGCAAGAACAATGAACAGCACATTAATGACATCACCAAATCAGACTTCAAATGTGATAGAACTAGAAGTCAGAGGCAACAGTTCCTTGGATGATCTCACACCACAGATATGAGTCTACAGAACAGGAGTGCCTAGGCACACAAAGTGCACTAATTAGAAAAAAAGATATATTTTTCAAGGTAATGCTTATGTAGCGCCCCTCAAGTTTAGCTAGCTAGCTCGGTGTCTTTGTAATGAATACAAGGCTCCTTCCCTGCTGACAGGATTGTCCTCCCTAGGAGACTTGGCACAGTGGGTATCCTTCTGTTCAGCAACCAGTCTGTAGGTAGGCTCCCCTCCCTGGGGCCCCCTCCCAGGCTCTACTCTCCAGCACCTTCTTTCAGTCCATCTTCCACCCGACTCCCCTGCTGCACAGGCTCTGTCACATTTAAGGGTTGCCCCTGGTCACTATGCCTGGCCTCCTGCCTTGGGATTGGCTAAATTCCCTTCAATATGCAAATCTTGGCCTCATCCCCTCCTCAGCCCCCCTTCCAGAAAGTGCTATAATTTTCTGGAAGGGTGGGAGGGCTCCAGAAGCCCTGACCTGTAGAGCCTCAGGGCCTGTACTGAAGTGAACTATCTCAATCCCAGACTGACTCATCCGAGGATTCTATCAAGCTTCTAGCTCACAAAAAATCCTATCTAGCACTAGAGGGAGCTACACCTATTACATCATCAGATAAAATTCGGTTCACAGATGCCTCCATCCCATGAAGTTCAGTGATTGCTCTGGCAGTTTCAGAGAGGAAAACCATTATAAGCATTTCCTGTACATTCATTTATTCACATGACTATAGAGACCTCCGTACTATACATACAACCCTTTTATCCTGATCACCTGGAGAGATCCCATTCTACAGTCTCAGTAAATCCCGGTATGAATTATGTTTTTAATATGTTTTGTCACCTTATACGTTGCTACCCCCCATACTTCTATCTGGCCCCTCCTCACCTCTCATCTCCTTTATGAAGGCTTCAATGTTTGTCAGTTTCTCCATCATCCTGGAATCTAGAGGAGGAGAAGATTCATAAGGTGAGGAGATCAGACCCCCATCACATAGTGTCACCCTTCAGAGGTCCGTCTTACCATCCTGGGACAGTTTCTCCACTCTGGAGTCCCCTCCTAGGCTCAGATTCCTCAGCTTCACCTCCATGTTCTGCTGTGTCTGATCCACCCCTTGACCTGCCAGAGACAAAGAACCAGAATTTACCCCAACAGATGAATGAAATGGAGGACCCTAAAACTGCCTCCACCCTGGATTCAACCAATTATCACTCATCTACCCAGATGTCCCTCCACTGGTAGATTTCATCCCGTAAAACCTGGGGAAGGAGGACCGTTACATATAATAGCAAATGTGTTCTGGTAATGAATGGGTTAATTTGAAAAATGAAAAAATGTAATTTTTTTTGGGCCTCTGAGTGAATTTTAATATACTGGCTATTATTATACACAATGTTTGGGTCGTAGTATGGTCACCAAAGCCATCTCACTAGAGCTGAAGATGGGGTGAGGCTGCGTTTGTGGGGATCATAGAACGGTGGGGTGGAAATGGAAGAGTTGGAGCTAACTTCAGGCAGAGAAATCTCCCAATTCACATGGACCTCTGAGCCCGGGAGATGAATGGAGGGTGTAGGGAACAGAAGAAAAGGGAAGAACTGATGATTGTGGACAGGAGGGGTGATGGTAGAATGAGGGATGGGAAATACGAAGCAGGACTGTGGTCTGGGGAGAAAAAAAAAGGAGGGTGGAGGACAGAGAGGACAAGACGCTGTCCATGGAATATTGGGCAAGAATATGAGCTCATCAAGAACACGGGATGGAGAAAGAGAAAGAATCAGTGAAGAGACAGGAGGCAGGCTGAGTATTTATCAAAATGTATTCCGAGAATTTGGAGAGCGGGAAACTGTATTATAGATCAATGAGGTCCGATCAGTAAACCTTAATTCCAGTGGAGGTCCAAATCGCATGTTTGTGTGATGACTCAGATCCGTCCCATCACAGCCCCCCTCCTTACAGCAGTTCCCTCAGACCCCCTGCATCTCACATTCCCGTCACATCTGTTTCCCCTTCACTGTAGTGCTCTGTACCCCCTTCACAATGGAATCCTCTGCCCCCTTCACATCTCAACACCCCCTGCTCCCCCCCTCCCCTTCACATCCCCTGCACCTTCGGCCCCATTCACATTACAGCACTCTGCACCTCTGGCACCTCTTTACATCACAGTCCCCTGGAGCTTTGGCCCCCTTTACAGCAAAGTCCTCTTCAGCTCTGGCCCCCTCCACATCACAGCCCCTTTAAGCTTTGTCCCCCTTTATACCACAGCCCCCTGCAGCTCTGCTCCCCTTCACATCACAGTCCCCCTAAGCTTTGTCCCCCTTTATATCACAGCCCCCTGCAGCTCTGGCCCCCCCTTCACATCACAGCCCCCTGCAGCTCTGGCCCCCCCTTCACATCACAGCCCCCTGCAGCTCTGGCCCCCCTTCACATCACAGCCCCCTGCAGCTCTGGCCCCCTTCATTTCACAGCCCCCTGCAGCTCTGGCCCCCTTCACATCACAGCCCCCTGCAGCTCTGGCCCCCTTCATATCACAGCCCCCTGCAGCTCTGCCCCCCCTTCCAGATCTTCCAGAGAATGTAGTGTGGACAGTGGGGGGAGATCTTCCAGAGAATGTAGTGTGGACAGTGGAAGGAGGTCTTCCAGAGAATGTAGTGTGGATGGTGGGGGGGAGATCTTCCAGAGAATGAAGGATAGTAAGAGTGAACTCACATGAAATGATGATGATGAAGAGGAGGAGAGTGCAAAGTGCTGACAGAAAGCAAATCAGGTCGGAGGATGGTTGGGGGATCCATTTGTTCATGATGAGTCTACTACATTGAATCCCTTCCTGGGAGCAAAAGGATGACATTACTCTAAGCCTAGTGTCATTCTCGGTATCTGTCCCTATTCTGTATGTATGGACTCTGCACAGTCCCACTTCTCCTGTCCCGGATGCCGGGTGTCATTCTCAGTATCTGTCCTTATTCTGTATGTATGGACTCTGCACAGTCCCACTTCTCCTGTCCTGGATGCCGGGTGTCATTCTCGGTATCTGTCCTTATTCTGTATGTATGGACTCTGCACAGTCCCACTTCTCCTGTCCCGGATGCCGGGTGTCATTCTCGGTATCTGTCCTTATTCTGTATGTATGGACTCTGCACAGTCCCACTTCTCCTGTCCCGGATGCCGGGTGTCATTCTCGGTATCTGTCCTTATTCTGTATGTATGGACTCTGCACAGTCCCACTTCTCCTGTCCCGGATGCCGGGTGTCATTCTCGGTATCTGTCCCCATTCTGTATGTATGGACTCTGCACAGTCCCACTTCTCCTGTCCCGGATGCCGGGTGTCATTCTCGGTATCTGTCCCTATTCTGTATGTATGGACTCTGCACAGTCCCACTTCTCCTGTCCCGGATGCCGGGTGTCATTATCGGTACCTGTCCCTATTCTGTATGTATGGACTCTGCACAGTCCCACTTCTCCTGTCCCGGATGCCGGGTGTCATTCTTGGTATCTGTCCCTATTCTGTATGTATGGACTCTGCACAGTCCCACTTCTCCTGCCCCGGATGCCGGGTGTCATTCTCGGTATCTGTCCCTATTCTGTATGTATGGACTCTGCACAGTCCCACTTCTCCTGTCCTGGATGTCGGGTATCATTCTCGGTACCTGTCCCCATTCTGTATGTATGGACTCTGCACAGTCCCACTTCTCCTGTCCTGGATGCCGGGTGTCATTATCGGTACCTGTCCCTATTCTGTATGTATGGACTCTGCACAGTCCCACTTCTCCTGTCCCGGATGCCGGGTGTCATTCTCGGTATCTGTCCCCATTCTGTATGTATGGACTCTGCACAGTCCTACTTCTCCTGTCCCGGATGCCGGGTGTCATTCTCAGTATCTGTCCTTATTCTGTATGTATGGACTCTGCACAGTCCCACTTCTCCTGTCCCGGATGCCGGGTGTCATTCTCGGTATCTGTCCTTATTCTGTATGTATGGACTCTGCACAGTCCCACTTCTCCTGTCCCGGATGCCGGGTGTCATTCTCGGTATCTGTCCCCATTCTGTATGTATGGACTCTGCACAGTCCCACTTCTCCTGTCCTGGATGCCGGGTGTCATTATCGGTATCTGTCCCCATTCTGTATGTATGGACTCTGCACAGTCCCACTTCTCCTGTCCCGGATGCCGGGTGTCATTCTCGGTATCTGTCCCCATTCTGTATGTATGGACTCTGCACAGTCCCACTTCTCCTGTCCCGGATGCCGGGTGTCATTCTCGGTATCTGTCCCTATTCTGTATGTATGGACTCTGCACAGTCCCACTTCTCCTGTCCTGGATGTCGGGTATCATTCTCGGTACCTGTCCCCATTCTGTATGTATGGACTCTGCACAGTCCCACTTCTCCTGTCCTGGATGCCGGGTGTCATTCTCGGTATCTGTCCCCATTCTGTATGTATGGACTCTGCACAGTCCCACTTCTCCTGTCCTGGATGCCAGGTGTCATTCTCAGTATCTGTGGTATTACACCTTTGCCCTGTACAGTGATCCGTACCTCGGTAAGCTGAATGGTTTCCTGAGGGACTCTTGTTGGGTGTTGGGTCTTCCTGAAGTGGCTCAATGTCCTTATACCGCACTGACATGTCCTGTAGAAGACTCCATTATAGACAGACAGATCCATAGATTACAGGACAGATGTATCATTACTCTCTCTCACCTTGTTATCTTGGTGTTGTCCTCTCAGTGGTTTGGAGCTCTCCGGATGGGATGAACTCTCTGGTTGGGATTAACTCTCCGGATGGGATGAGCTCTCCGGTTGGGATGAACTCTCTGGATGGGATGAGCTTTCCGGTTGGGATGAACTCTCTGGATGGGATGAACTCTCCGGTTGGGATGAGCTCTCCGGTTGGGATGAACTCTCTGGTTGGGATGAACTCTCTGGATGGGATGAACTCTCCAGTTGGGAGGAGCTCTCCGGTTGGGATGATCTCTCTGGTTCCCTCCCATATATAGTTTTCTTCTTCCATACTTCCTGCCTCCCCCTGGCCTCCCTAAGTCCCGGTCAGCTCCCTATTTTATCACCTGAGAGGAAATAGGAGTCCTACAATAATCCCTCAGAAGTTTCTAGAGATCACACCGTCCATCACAACAACAATCCTACTAAGAATTCTAATCCTCCAGAATGATTCCTGACCAATCCTCGGAGTATCTGGGCACATTTGCTGCATTTGATGCAGAGTCGGGTAGCTGAGACGTGATCAGTAGAAATATGTAGTTGTAGATCTGGCCTCGGTCCGTGTTATTCCAGATAATTGCTCAGCATTCTGTCAGAGACATATGTTTTTAATCAGCATCTGAGAGGACAGAGCAGCTTCTAGGCTAGAGGGGTCACCGAGGTGCCAATACAACCTTCTCACCTATGTAGTCAGAGTTTGAAACCTTCTTGAACCTAAAAGAAGAATCCTAGTCATTTCGGCTACAAGAGTCAGCAGGGGACCAGGAGTGGCCCCAGAATGTCTGCCAGCCTTGAATCATACTAATAGATCAAAACCTATATTCATTGACTTAAACCCAAAAACCCACAATTATAGTGAAAAAAATCAAGACCTAAAGAGATTACCCAAAAATAAAAAAATATCAAATATATATAAAAAAACAAAAATAAAATAAAGTCCCAATATACAAAGTGTCCAAATAATGTGTCCAAACAAAGATCAATTTCTTGATAGGAAGACGCTTCCTACTCCACTGAAGAAGATGCAAATCAATCACAGGTGCTCTTCAAATACCTCAAAAAACAAAATCTCAACATAGTATATTACCTTTTAAATCCCAGAACTAAAGTGCCACACGTGTATCATGCAAAAAAACACTCCAGTGTCACAGCACTCATGTGAGAAAGAAAATTAATAAATATCACTGCAAACTATATATAAAGTGCATAATTACCCTAAAACAAACAGATTCCAGCTTTTAATCAACCACATATGTACAGAGTGTCCTTAGATTGGTGTCCTCTTGTTCCTCAGGACCTCACAAACAGACCAGGAATCAGTATGTGAATTATAATCATATATACAATTTATTGTAGCCACTTACATATAAAAACGATAAGATCAGCAAGACAGCATCCAACTCCTCATGCCCAGTATACGATCCCCTTTCCGTGTGTAGAGGGTCTCCCGATCACCAGGTGATTCCCCCTTGCTACTCCTATCCAGCACTATCACTTTGTAGATCAGGGGGACACCTGAAGTGCACCGTTACTCTCCAGACCTCCAACACACAGGGATTCCAGAATCCAAAATGGCTGCCGCAGCACTTCCGAGAACGTCACGTGCCCTGGACGCGTTTCGTCTCTTCCGGACTTTGTCAACAAGGATACGGATATAAGGTTCCAGTTCTTTAAGTACCCACTCCTAACCTGGTGGAAATACCTCAGCGGCCATCTTACAAAGTGGAAAATTGAGATGAATGACTACCAAAGCTAATATACCATGCTAGATAGTCATAGAGGAAGCAATATTACATCCCACCCCATAGCTCTCATCCCTAAGTTATCCTCAAGCCATACTTCAGTCCCAAGGATAATTATACCACCTGCAGCCATTTTGGAAACTGAAAGAACAATTTTAAATAACCATAGGGTCGGTGGTAACACCACCCCTTCACCATTGATTGCAAAAATCTAAAAATAATAAAATCATTCACAAAAATTATATAAAATATTAAAGAATATTAGAAGTACATACTAAAAAAAAAAAAAAAAAAAAAATTAAATTTAAAAATTAAAATTACAAATCAGAAATAAAACAATTTAAATCCAAGTCAATATTAAGACCCCTAGGTTTCAAGGTGTTAAGTTGTTTTAAAGATCCAGAAAGTTTCATTACGGGATATTTCCTGTACTTTATTACATCCCCTCCAATGAGTATCAAGAATATCAATACCACAAAAACTCAGAACACTAGGATCCGAATTGTGAAAATCACGGAAATGCTTTGACACACTATGTTCCTTCCTTCCTTTTTTTATGTTCCCCACATGTTCTTTAAGTCGAATTTTAAGATCTCTTTTCGTTCTACCCACGTATTGGATTTTACAGGGGACATTCCAACAAGTAGGTGACATACTTCATATTGCATGTTATAAACTTCTTGATCATAAACTCCTCCCCCGTAACTGTAGATTTAAACGTGGAGATCTTTTTCACTTTAATGCCGGTCGTTTTTACATATCCTACACTTCCTACATGGGGGAAGAAACCTGTTAATCCAAAGATCCGTGATTTTCTAGGGGGGAGATAATCCCTTTTACTAATAGGCCCCTCAAGTTATCACTTTTTCTATATATAAAGGAAGGTTTCTCATCAGGTAGCGTCTTGGCTAGAATATCATCTTTGTGTAACATCGGCCAATAATTTCTAATGACATTCTCCACTTCCCTATACTGGCAACTAAATTTGGGGATAAAAGCGTATTCCATTGAACGTTTCCCCTCCCTCCTTTTTTTTTCTTAATATTTCTCTTCTCCTTCCCATCTCCCAAATACTTTCTACTTACTGCCTATCTCATCTTCTCTAGAGAATCCTGATCATACCCTTTAGCAACAAAACGTTCCTTAATATATTCCAACTGGACAATATAGTTAGAGATGATGAGCGAATTTATCAAAAATTCGATTCGGCTGATTCGGCGAATTCCAGTATGAAATTCGATTCGATGCGAATTAATTCGCTACGAAGTTAACTTATTAAAAGGGTTTCTAGGCTTCAGAGAGCCTTTAAATTAGTGCAGAACACTGTACCTTTAATTCAAATGCCCTTGGAGATGAGGAAGGAGAAGGAGAAGGAGAAGGATGAGAAGAAGGAGAAGGATGAGAAGAAGGAGAAGGAGAAGGATGAGAAGATGGAGAAGGAGAAGGATGAGAAGAAGGAGGAAGGAGAAGGATGAGAAGAAGGAGAAGGATGAGAAGAAGGAGAAGGAGAAGGAGAAGGAGAAGGAGAAGGAGAAGGATGAGAAGATGGAGAAGGAGAAGGATGAGAAGAAGGAGAAGGATGAGAAGAAGGAGAAGGAGAAGGATGAGAAGAAGGAGAAGGAGAAGGATGAGAAGAAGGAGAAGGATGAGAAGAAGGAGAAGGATGATAAGAAGGAGAAGGATGAGAAGAAGGAGAAGGATGAGAAGAAGGATGAGAAGAAGGAGAAGGATGAGAAGAAGGATGAGAAGAAGGAGAAGGATGAGAAGAAGGAGAAGGAGAAGGATGAGAAGAAGGAGAAGGATGAGAAGAAGGAGAAGGATGAGAAGAAGGAGAAGGATGAGAAGAAGGAGAAGGGAGAAGCAGAAGGAGAAGGATGAGAAGAAGGAGAAGGATGAGAAGATGGAGAAGGAGAAGGATGAGAAGAAGGAGAAGGAGAAGGATGAGAAGAAGGAGGAAGGAAAGGAGAAGGATGAGAAGAAGGAGAAGGAGAAGGATGAGAAGAAGGAGAAGGATGAGAAGGGGGGAGAAGGAGAAGGATGAGAAGAAGGAGAAGGATGAGAAGAAGGATGAGAAGAAAGGATGAGAAGAAGGAGAAGGATGAGAAGAAGGAGAAGGATGAGAAGAAGCAGAAGGATGAGAAGAAGGAGAAGGATGAGGAAGAGGATGAGAAGAAAAGATGAGAAGAAAGGATGAGAAGAAGGAGAAGGATGAGAAGAAGGAGAAGGATGAGAAGATGGAGAAGGAGAAGGATGAGAAGAAGAAGGGAGAAGGAGAAGGATGAGAAGAAGGAGAAGGATGAGAAGAAGGAGAAGGAGAAGGAGAAGGATGAGAAGATGGAGAAGGAGAAGGATGAGAAGAAGGAGAAGGATGAGAAGAAGGAGAAGGAGAAGGATGAGAAGAAGGAGAAGGAGAAGGATGAGAAGAAGGAGAAGGATGAGAAGAAGGAGAAGGATGATAAGAAGGAGAAGGATGAGAAGAAGGAGAAGGATGAGAAGAAGGATGAGAAGAAGGAGAAGGATGAGAAGAAGGATGAGAAGAAGGAGAAGGATGAGAAGAAGGAGAAGGAGAAGGATGAGAAGAAGGAGAAGGATGAGAAGAAGGAGAAGGATGAGAAGAAGGAGAGGATGAGAAGAAGGAGAAGGAGAAGCAGAAGGAGAAGGATGAGAAGAAGGAGAAGGAGAAGGATGAGAAGATGGAGAAGGAGAAGGATGAGAAGAAGGAGAAGGAGAAGGATGAGAAGAAGGAGAATGAGAAGGATGAGAAGAAGGAGAAGGAGAAGGATGAGAAGAAGGAGAAGGATGAGAAGAAGGAGAAGGAGAAGGATGAGAAGAAGGAGAAGGATGAGAAGAAGGATGAGAAGAAGGAGAAGGATGAGAAGAAGGAGAAGGATGAGAAGAAGGAGAAGGATGAGAAGAAGGAGAAGGATGAGAAGAAGGATGAGAAGAAGGATGAGAAGAAGGAGAAGGATGAGAAGAAGGACAGTTCTGTGACAGTTTCTGTCTATTTCTGACAGTTCCATGACATTCCCTCCATACAGCGGGTTTCCGGCAAAAAGTGTATGTGCAGAGTTCCTCTATTCTGCAGATACACTTAGAGGAGCTCTGCAGATAGACTTTTTGCCGGCTTGGAATTATTCTTATTTTCATCCTACTTCTTCTTCTTCTTCATCCT